TAATAGCTAGAGGCTCAGATACCTCCTCTATTAGCTCCTTGAGTATTAAAGTCATTAAACATGACTTCACTGTTTAATACTGACAGGGATGAAATTATTTTGGCTAAGATTTTTCTAGCTGTTAATGTAACTAGCTGTAGGTAATTCAGTATTTCAGTCGTGAATTCTGATAAAATGATTTCTTTATTGAACTCTATCTGAAAACTTCAGCTAAGAAATAAAAGTGTGAAGGACTTACATTTCCCTGGTTTAGATGGGATTCTGATCACAGTAGGCTTTCGTGCTATAGCTGGTTGAACTGTCTGTTCCTTTGCAGGCTCGGTTTTGGAGGGGAATTGAAAGGGATCTAATGAAAAAAACACCATTTATTTAGCGTGTATTTGTTAAACACACACCTTGACAGACACTTCATTCATTATTAAACAACTTGTATACTTCATGACTACGGGAAAAATCACCATCTCGGTATTGAGAGACAATAAATATAGAGCTAATGAAAACAGATTACTCTGCCCTTAGTAAATAATGTACTTTTTTCTAAATGTGCACTGAGAAGAGATTCAAAGATGAGTTAACTTAAACCATGTTCTAGATGCTTTCCAGGACTATTCAAATCATAGTCCAACAGCATATGCTTCTCTGGATAACAATGATTTGGGAAGTCAGTACAGCTTTAGGGAAACATGTTCCAAAGCAGTTGCTCTGATATGCATACATAGCTGTGAATGTATCTGTAAAAGAGCTAAGTCATCAGACAGAAGATAAAAGACCTATCAAAAACAAGCAACATATTCCATTGCAAATATTAGGCTCTGGTTACAAAGTCCTTTTGGTGCCCCCTCTATCTCTTAATAAGTGGCTAAGTTAGGTTTTCCTTGAAATTTGTGTTGCTTTTTTACAGATCATAATCCTGAAGTAATGGGGAAGGCTTGTCTTGTGGTTAAAACATAAGACTAGAGTCAGAGCTGGGTTCTATTCCTGGCTATGTGACAGACATTCCTGGGTGACCCTGGGCAAATCACTCAACCTCTCTAGGCCCCCGTTTCTCCATCTGTAAAATGGGATTACTTTCCATGCTTGATAGGAAGTTAACACTTAATTGATTATGGTTTATGAATTGTTCAGATACCATGCAGAAGGCGGTCATAGAAATGTATTGGGATAAACAAATAACTCCTTATTCCGGCAGGACTCCTATTGCCTCCATGCCAAGGAACATGTATCTATTTTAGATCCACTCCATATTATCAAGTACTATTTCTTCCTCTGGCAGTATCTATCCCCATACATTAAGATGCCAACAATTACTGCACCACAATTGCATAAGATGGAAATGGGAGATGTATTCTGACCAACAAATTCACCATGACTCCCATCCACCATTCACACAGAAGCCCCTGCAAATCAGCACTGATCTCATGTGGTGGCCGTTTCAGATATGTGCTAGCTAGACAAGATGTTATTGAGTGTCAGATGCACTTAAATAAGGAATCACAGTGGGTGTTCCTTTAAATTCTCCAGTTTCTTCTTTTCATTGAAGGCAAGAAAGGACAAAATAGAATTAAAGGAAATGCACTCTGTACAAAATGACTGCCTCCCTGGGGTAAAATATAAAATCACTTCTTTAAGTTAACTGTTCAGAATTTACGTTAATAAAAGACTGTGGGAGGACAGCATTTCTTATAAAAATAGTAAGTAACAGAATTTGATGCCATTTACCAAGAAACTGAAATATTTGCTACTTGGAGATTTAAATTAGAGTTTTTAAACATAAAAAAATACAGTGTTTGCCTCTGAATGGTTTTGTTAAAAATCACGTTTTCATTTAAATTATTTCAAATTTGGATTATGGATGGGGAGGGAGAGGAGGTATATTCTAACTACATCATTCCATTAAAAATAGGCCCAATTAAGATAATTTCACTTAGAGAATATCCCTATGGTAGTGTAACCAGTTTATATATTAGAGCTGAACAGGTCACTCAACCCCCACCCCTCCCCCCCAATATATACTGTTTTGCACTGTGGATTTCATACAAATATCTACATCCACACATTGAGCTGTCTTTGTAAATGGGCATTTTTTTGAGGTCACCAAGAAGGATTTTTCAAAAGCTGTATATTGACACCCCAATCCTGCAAAGATATATGCAGAGTTAAGTCAAATGGGATTACTCATCTGCTTAAAGTAAAGCCCATGCCTACATTTTTATAGGATGGGGACATAGATTGTAACAAGCCCCTAGTTGTCAACAGTTTCCATTTTTCTCTCTCCACCCCCTTTAACAATATTTAGTGCTGTTCTAGAGAGACTGCTCTACACAGGTAACCCTGGAGAAAAAGTCACCATTAAATCTTCATCTGTGTGGTAGTCATCACAAGGTTAAGAATAGCATTTATTGGAACATGAATTTTCCACTCATTATCTTATGTTCAATAATACTATTGTCACCTCATAATTAGTTTAAACCTCATTAACTTGTTTGTGTCATTTCTTTCCCCAGAGTTGTGTTAGTGAAAATTGTCTGGTAAACTACTATGCTGCTTTGTGTAATGGGACTGACAGCATATGGATTTTTTTAAAAGGTATTTAACAACAATTGGGCATGGTTTGAGCATGATTCAGAAAAGTGTGAAAATAGAAAATGCACTAACAACTCAAGTAAATTAATCTTCTAGTGCATTCTTCATAACAGATAACACCAATATCAATAGATGACTATCATTTTTCTTTAATAATCCTTTTATATTATTTTCACAGCCTGTATTTTCCTGAGTCTGACTTTTTTGTGACTGCAAATAAAACAGTTTATTTTATAACCTCCCTTTGATAACATATTCCCCTTCATGTGTGCTTAAGTTAGGGAAAATGCAGTGTGCATCTGACTACCACATATATTTTCTCTTGGTTCTATTGGCTTAGAAGAGTCAGACATATTTCATCCAGCCCCATTTTACCATCTTTGTTCCACACCAAAAAATAAAGGGATGATGTAGCAGATATTTGCCTTTATTTAGGGGAAGATGGTGGCTATCTTTCTGAAGCTGTTATTGTTAGTTTATATCTAGGAGACAATAAGATGAGCAATCTGTTTTATGTTCCTTTCTTCTAAGAAAAGTAAAAGATGTGGCAGATATCTCAACAAAAATGGGGGGACCCCCAAACAGGTAGGTCGAGGAAAGTGGCAAATGTAATTTTTATTATGTATTTTGAAAAAGCCACCCTGTTTTGACTAAGTCCTGCAAATAGTGCTCTCAATACATCCAAGAATGACATCATAGCCCTAGGAATGCTGATTTGTTGGCATCATAACATGCATTACCGTTACAGAAGTATGCACTGTGTCTACCTGAAATGTTTTATTATATATTAAATAAGGATTTTTCAAAAGTCTCTCTAGACTGAGAGACACAAAAAATCAAGATGGCTATCTGGGTCTTCTAGAATTAGTCCACCCTCTTTAAAAACACAGAGATTTATTAAAATCTCATCTCGGTGAAACCACTTCACAGCCTGAGTAGAATCATGCCTATCCACACTTAAGTGGAGACTTTCAAGGATAAACCTAGGTGCTGCTGGAAATATGGTTGGAGATTCAATAGACAGAATTCCAAACCAGAATGGAACCAATACTGAACCAACGCTAGTATGGTGATAGGTGGTACTATGCTAATGGAAATACTGCCTGGTGGATATGTTAAATAAAAAGGGCCTGACCGCTCAGACATTACAAATTCCCCCTATTTGCTAGATTTGAGGTATTAACATAGGTGTCCTGCCTAATTCCAGCTTGGTTAATCACATTCTGCCTACCTCAAATTCCCCCTGTATTTTGATTTGGAGACGTTAATTATTTGCTTTTGTTTTTAAAAACCATTCTTGTCATTTAATGGCTGCATAGTCCACACTAGCCTTTCACTGCTGGGTGAGTGACCCCTAATATACATTGTTCTCACTGTGCTTTGCAATCCTCCAGCATGATAGGTGCTATGGGCATGTTCTGCCCACACCTCTTCCCACAATGGTTGCAGGTAAAAACCACAGTGGAATCCAGTGCAGATCAGCTGTGCAGGAGGCAGGATTTCAGGTGCTCACACAGGGGTGTGTAACATGTGCATGCTCTGGAGTCCAGCTGTAAGAAAATTTCCTGTGGTGCTCTGCATTCTGTGAATTTTGGGATTAGTTAGGAGAAGTGATCAGCTGATCCATCACTGTGCAGATCTGGAGAGGAGGGACAGTAGGGCTACAGAGACTACTCCAGATCTAAGACTGGAGTGGCAGCTATAAAGTTGATCTGCTGTCACTCTGGATATGTCTACACAAAGAAAAACCTGCGGCTGGCCCGTGCCAGCTGACTCGGGATGTGGTGCTGTTTCATTGCTGTGTAGACTTCTGGGCTCAGGCTGGAGCCCAGGCTCTAGGACCCTGAGGGCTGGGAGAATCCCAGCCCAAGGACTCCAGCCTGAGCCCAGAAGTCTACACAGCAATGAAACAGCCCCACAACCCAAGCCCCATGAGCCCAAGTCGGCTGGCACGGGCCAGCTACAGGTATCTAGTTGCTGTGTAGGCATAGGGCCAGTGGCCTGGAATTCTTCTTTCCCTGCCCACATAGAGACTTCCAGCAGCCAGCCCAGTTATTCAGGAAAGCATACTAGGAACACATCCTATGGCCCCAATTCAGTAAAGCATTGAAGTGAATGGGACTTAAAAACATGCTTCAGTGCTTTCTTAAAATCAGATCCAAGATGATCTCCTCTTATAAATTGCAGGATGAAATAGACAAGAACTCTCACTTTCACACTCACTAAGGGAAGCTACATTCTTCTAAGGCTAGGTCTGGACCATACTAGGCTAGAAGCATTTATAGAAGTGCCGAATCTCCTATTACAAGGAAACAACTAAAAATAAGCAGCCAGGCAATGTCTCATAGCAGACAGGTCCCAGACTGTATATTTTTAAATAACTTAGAGAATACTCAAATGGCTCTTTGTTTTCCCTGCAGACAAAATTGAACTTTCCTACTATAATTATGAGATAAATAGACATAATATGAAATGCAGCAATAGCCATGCTTGTAAAATGGAAATACACTAATGTGATGGAGCTCATGAAGGAAACCTCTCTACTCCAGATGTACAATATGCTATTTCTGTCTACAAATCAAGTCAATTCCTCTTAAAATGCATGGGCCAAATATAGCTCTGGTGTATCAGGAATATCTCAATTAGTGAATGGGAAGACATTTTTTGAAAAAGATCTGAATCTAACCATCCTATCAGGAAGGCAAAAAATAAAATAATTAGCAACTCCATTCCATATAGAACCCCTGTAGCATAAAGGATTTC